GTGTGTGCGCGCGCGCATGCCTGTGTGGGCGTGCATGTGTGTACATTTTCGTACGGGTGGAGGGAGAGGAGGAGGGGGTGGGGGTGGGGGCAGAGGTTGGAGTTGGATAGGCGTGCAGGCTAGATCATGTTTTGCTGTGGGCGGAGACTACTAAGTGCTTGAGATGAGATCATGTAATATGTAGGGCAGCGTGGTGAAATCAGGCGCTCGTCAGTATGAAAAAAGAAAAATCGGCATTTTTTCGCTCGTTTTGCAATTTCCTTTTCAAATTTCAAAAAAGTTGATAAAGGGCACAAAAATGTAAATTATTTGTTTCCAAGGTCTCTCAAGCTATGTAAGATACCAGACTTTGACGGCCATGTTCTTGCTGATTTTACCTCTGTCTGAAACAAGTTTTACTTACTTACACAGAGTGGTAGATCTAACTTTTTCATCGCAAGCAAGACGAATGAACACGCTTTATACTTTATAACAGTTACTAATAACCCCATACCTAGGCCTTCTCAGTCCTGAGAAAGCCTAGCCCCATACTCAAAGATTAACGAGCGCCTGATTCCAGCACGTCGTACACAATATGTCCTCAATGAATGAGCCAACGAGAAACACTGCCTGACACTGACAGTTTGAAGCGAGGGTCCCCACCCCCGAGTGTATCTTTAAAAAAAAAATCAATAATCTCCCCCCATTCCGCAGTCGTGTATTTCACAGCGCTCAGAACGCGCGCAGGTTCATCACGACGATGGCAATTCTGGAATTTCCTGAAAAATTCAGGAAGGTTAGCAAGTCTGTAGATCTATATTCTTTGTACATGTACCTATTTAAATCACGCGTTACCGTATATCCTGAAAATTGTACGTAGTGAAAGGTTTTCACTATTTACGCACGTTGGACTGTAGTTACGAAAACTATTATTTGTGGTGTATCTGTTACGCTCTCTGTTGTTGGACGCAGATGTGATGAGTTCGAGTCCGGAGTGGGGGAGTTTTGTTTGAGTTTCAGCAAATTTCTCCACCTATCTGCGGAGAAGCTGTATCACTGTCAGTTGAGATTGAAGCGGTCCGCCTCTTAAATGATCTAAGTTGGGTTGATGGGGGCATATGACACTACGAACAATTTGTGTACAATACGAAGTCCATAATTTCAGAAATGAACAGGTATAATGTGCCTACTATATGTTACACAATTCGAGCTGCTTTCTGTTACTTGCTCACATAGAGGGGGAATAGTGAGAAACAAACAAATGAACAAATCGTCCCATAGAAAAACATAAATTGTTTTGTTTTAATAGAATGAGCCCCCCCCCCCAAGAAAATGGTTCTGACATAACAAAAGGTGACTGTAATACTGCTGTAAGCTGACAAAACGACTTTATTATTTTTTTTTCATTTTGGCGCCAACATTTTTTTATTTGCTAATCGAAAGCCTGATCAGTTACACTACTTGTGTGAAACAGTCAAAATTGAAACAGTGACTAGTTTTTGAATTAATTAGAATTCAAATTTGGGATTTACTCTATTTCTAAATGATTACGCTGATGAAAAAGCCTCTTTTTCCCGAAACTGCTCTGAAGAGAGAAAAAGGCGTTTTGTCAGCTTACTGCAGAATAGTGATAAGTCGTCTTCAGTCCACAAAAGAATCTCTCCGATTTATTACCAAAAACATACGGTAAGCAAATGCTTTGATATTTTATATCATGACATGATAATCAGTGCAAGCCTAGTAGTTGTTCATCGCAACAAGACTTCTAATGCAGCCATGGGTTAACCTGGGAATAGACCACGATATTGAGGACGTCAGAATTATATATATATGTGTCATTATCGTCAGAAAGCTGGTAAAATGTTCTGAGTTCAGAAAGCAAAATTTCACAGGACAGATTAAAAAAACCCAACCTGTTTCATTCTTTTTACAACTGTACTGTACGTAATGTACATCATATATTTTTTCTCGCTTTTTTCAACGTAAAAAAAAAAAGAATTATACAAACAAACAAAAATAAAAAAAGAGTGGAAAAACAAAATCAGGCGCAAATTCTACCCACCAAAACTGACACAGACACTCTACTATACCGTGTGAAATACAGAAAAACCTCTCAACAAACAGCTGCACACAATTACACATTGACTGTTAAGTGAACTACTACATCATGTACATTGATAGAGAGCTCATACCCACACTATATCTACACACTCACACATTTGTTCATACTCATGATAAAAACGCACACACATTTGTATGTAGCCTCTACACACATCCACCCATACACTTGCACAAACAGAAACTCACACACACACACTGAGAATCACTCTTTCTACCATAGTTCAACTTGATGAAGTTCTCCCTGCACTAAATCCCCCAAAATGCGGCCCAAAGCAACCATCTCACCATTTTCTTGTCTCTGCAAATACACTCGGATCTGTAACTCTGGGAAACTAATACTCGCTGCTTCATGTCATGTACGAAAACACGTTGCCTCGTGTGCGAAAATGTCGCACATACTTGTACGTAGATATCTGCATAGCTACAAACTTTTCCAAACCATGAAATGAGCTCTACCCATGCAGCAAGTTAAGATGGTGAGCTTCAACCTATTCAAAGTAGACTTGCAGCAAAAGATCTTTCCAAACGACATATGGGCTTAGTCTTTCATTATCGTTCACAAATCTGGTGGTACCGTAGTGAAAGTTCATTTCTTTTCCCTCAGCATTGGCAAACCCGTGAGGCATATTACTATAAAAATAAAATACAGAATGCGTGTTTCACTTTTCGATAAGAAAATACATTTCCAAACTCAAAAACGTATTTAATTTTAATACATTTTTGACATACTGGTTGGCAGCTAGGCGTAGGATGTATCCTTGTGAGTAGAAGAACTAGGGTGAGCCAAAAGCAAACAGATATAATCATTACACTTGACGCATGCAGGAGGAAAAACTAAGGACACTTAGGTTGAGAATAAGTCTTGAGACAGGGGGAGCATATCAGACTAGAGGCCTATTTAAACGCACAAAATGAAATACATCACAAAATTAAGCTTTGTCGTCACAAAGACCGCCTATCACATACACTATACCACTACCACAGATAACATGACTTCTTAATCCCTCAGGCGTCGACAGCCAAATGACCAATTAAATCAGCTGTAAGTTTCGCGTGTGGTGCCGCTGACAATTTAATTGGCCACAGTTTGAGTTGCTATTTTGTTTCGTTTATCTCCCCATTTCAGTCACATCGCCAAACATTTCAACTCCCTCACAAATGATCTCTTCTTCTTATTCAAATACTACTGTCAGAAAATGTATGGGTTAATGGCCTTGACTTGCTTGCTTTGCCAGTTCTCAAGCATTTTCAGACATATTATGGCGAAATCATATTACTTCCCCTGCCACCACAGGCTATTATTTAGCAATGCTTGGAGGGTTAAAAGCCACAATAGGAAACATTTTTTCTTCTTTAGAATTCCAATTTTCTCCTTTAGAATTCCAATTTTAGAATTCCCACATTCTTTCTCGTTCGATTGTCTGAGTCCTCTCCTCTCATCTGACATCTTTCTCGTTCGATCCATCTTCCTCATCCGACATCTTTCTTGATCACCCGATTCCTCTCATCTGACATCACTGACGACCGTGACCATGTTGATGAGCGCCTCTTTGGCCTCCGAGTCGGCGTAGCAGCCGAGGGAGGCGATGGCCTTGTCCCTGTACTGACCACACAGGTCCTTGCACTGCTGGACCACACCACTTCCTGTCACCAGGTTCACCACCTGGACGTTAGGAAACGGAGAAAAAAACAACAACAGACATTCAGAACCCAGTATTTAAGTCACCACCTGGACGCAAGTCAAAGTAAAAGAAAAAGGAGATC